ACGAGATTTCCTTCCTTCTGTTTACTGAATGTGGGTTACACTGGATAGTGTTAGGATATTGACTGTCGTCCTGGCTTCATGTGACCTGGCCAATGCTCAAGGATTTTCTCGTATGAATCGGTGATTCAGATAGAGATAGATAGATGATCAGCACAAAGGCAGCAAGTCGCGCGTCTTCTCGGGAAGCTCAGTCAAGAACAGGTTTCCACCAATCGTCTCTCCTGATAGAGGTGGGAGGGGATTCATCCGCGTCCAAAGCGGTAGCTACGCCATTTGAATTTAGGCTTCACTACAAGGAATCTCCTATCCACATTCTTTAATTCAAAATTATGAATTTCCTAAAATAATTAGGATAGAACTGACCACTTAACCCGATATGTAGACACACAATTACAAAAGAAGAACTATTTACCTAGAAGAAGACATACAATTAAAAAAAAAGAATTATTTGCCTATAGAAGAAGACATACAATTACACAAGAGGAACTATTTACATATAGAGGAAGACATACAATTACAAAAAAAAAAAAAAAAAAAAAAAGAACTATATGCCTATAGAGGAAGACATACAATTTCAAAAAAAAAAGAACTTTTTGCCTATAGAAGAAAACATACAATTACAAAAAAAAAAAAAAAAAAAAAAAAAAAAAAAAAAAAAAAAAAAGAACTATTTACCTATAGAGGAAGTCATACAATTACAAAAGAAGAACTATTTACCTATAGAGGAAGACATACAATTACAAAAGAAGAACTATTTACTTATAGAGGAAGACATACAATTACAAAAGAAGAACTATTTGCCTATAGAAGAAGACATACAATTACACAAGAAGAACTATTTACATATAGAGGAAGACATACAATTACAACAACAAAAAAAGAACTATTTGCCTATAGAGGAAGACATACAATTTCAAAAAAAAAAAAAAAAAAAAAAACTATTTGCCTATAGAGGAAGACATACAATTACAAAAGAAGAACTATTTACCTACAGGAAGACATACAATTACAAAAAAAGAACTATTTACCTAGAGGAAGACATACAATTACAAAAAAAGAACTATTTACCTAGAGGAAGACATACAATTACAAAAAAAAAGAAGAACTATTTACCTACAGGAAGACATACAATTACAAAAGAAGAACTATTTACCTACAGGAAGACATACAATTACAAAAAAAGAACTATTTACCTAGAGGAAGACATACAATTACAAAAAAAGAACTATTTACCTAGAGGAAGACATACAATTACAAAAAAAAAGAAGAACTATTTACCTAGAGGAAGACATACAATTACAAAAAAAAAAAGAACTATTTACCTAAAGGAAGACATACAATTACAAAAAAAAAAGAACTTTTTGCCTATACAGGAAGACATACAATTACAAAAGAAGAACAATTTACCTATAGAGAAAGACATACAATTACAAAAGAAGAACTATTTACCTATAGAGGAAGTCATACAATTACAAAAGAAGAACTATTTACCTATAGAGGAAGACATACAATTACAAAAGAAGAACTATTTGCCTATACAGGAAGACATACAATTACAAAAGAAGAACTATTTACCTATAGAGGAAGACATACAATTACAAAAAAAAATAAAAGAACTATTTGCCTATACAGAAAGACATACAATTACAAAAGAAGAACTATTTACCTATAGAGGAAGACATACAATTACAAAAGAAGAACTATTTACCTATAGAGGAAGACATACAATTACAAAAGAAGAACTATTTACCTATAGAGGAAGACATACAATTAAAAAAAAAATTATTTGCCTATAGAGGAAGACATACAATTTAAAAAAAAAAAAAAAAGAACTATTTGCCTATAGAGGAAGACATACAATTACAAAAGAAGAACTATTTACCTACAGGAAGACATACAATTACAAAAAAAGAACTATTTACCTAGAGGAAGACATTCAATTACAAAAAAAAAAGAAGAACTATTTACCTCTACAGGAAGACATACAATTACAAAAAAAAAAGAACTATTTACCTAGAGGAAGACATACAATTACAAAAGAAGAACTATTTACCTATAGAGGAAGACATACAATTACAAAAGAAGAACTATTTACCTATAGAGGAAGACATACAATTACAAAAGAAGCACTATTTACCTATAGAGGAAGACATACAATTGCAAAAGAAGAACTATTTATCTATAGAGGAAGTCATACAATTACAAAAGAAGAATTATTTACCTATAGGGGAAGACATACAATTACAAAAGAAGAACTATTTACCTATAGAGGAAGACATACAATTACAAAAGAAGCACTATTTACCTATAGAGGAAGACATACAATTGCAAAAGAAGAACTGTTTGCCTATAGAGGAAGACATACAATTACAAAAGAAGAACTATTTACCTATAGAGGAAGTCATACAATTACAAAAAAAGAACTATTTGCCTATAGAGGAAGACATACAATTACAAAAGAAGAACTATTTACCTATAGAGGAAGACATACAATTTAAAAAAAAAAAGAATTATTTGCCTATAGAGGAAGACATACAATTACAAAAGAAGAACTATTTACCTATAGAGGAAGACATACAATTACAAAAGAAGAACTATTTACCTATAGAGGAAGACATACAATGAAAAAAAAAAGAATTATTTGCCTATAGAGGAAGACACACAATTACAAAAGAAGAGCTATTTACCTATAGAGGAAGTCATACAATTACAAAAGAAGAACTATTTACCTATAGAGGAAGTCATACAATTACAAAAGAAGAACTATTTACCTATAGAGGAAGTCATACAATTACAAAAGAAGAACTATTTATCTATAGAGGAAGTCATACAATTACAAAAGAAGAATTATTTACCTATAGGGGAAGACATACAATTACAAAAGAAGAACTATTTACCTATAGAGGAAGACATACAATTAAAAAAAAAAGAATTATTTGCCTATAGAGGAAGACATACAATTACAAAAGAAGAACTATTTACCTATAGAGGAAGACATTCAATTACACAAGAAGAACTTTTTACCTATAGAGGAAGACATGCAATTTAAAAAAAAAAAGAATTAATTGCCTATAGAGGAAGACATACAATTACAAAAGAAGAACTATTTACCTAGAGGAAGAATACAATTACCTAAAAGAAAAGAGAACTATTTGCCTATACAGGAAGACATACAATTACAAAAGAAGAACTATTTATCTTTAGAGGAAGACATACAATTACAAAAGAAGAACTATTCACCTATAGAGGAAGACATACAATTACAAAAGAAGAACTATTCACCTATAGAGGAAGACATACAATTACACAGGAAGAACTATTTACCCATAGAGGAAGACATACAATTACCAAAGAAGAATTGTTGACCTGTAGAGGAAGACATACAATTACAAAAGAAGAATTGTTGACCTGTAGAGGAAGACATACAATTACAAAAGAAGAACAATAATTACCTATAGAGTAAGACATACAATTACAAAAGAAGAACTATTTACCTTTAGAGGAAGACATACAATTACCAAAGAAGAACTATTTACCTATAGAGGAAGACATACAATTACAAAAGAAGAACTATTTACCTATAGAGGAAGACATACAATTACATATAAGAACTATTTACCTATAGAGGAAAGTCCATTTTTCAAATCGACCTCATTACCACAGAGTTACCAAGATCCAGACCAGTCTAAGACGAGAGGGGTGTGGGCTGTCTCGTGATACCTCTTTTTTCCCATCCTTTCTGTGTGTGTGTGTGTGTGTGTGTGTGTGTGTGTGTGTGTGTGTGTGCGTGTGTTTGTGTTTGCATGTATATCTAAAGATATATAACCAGAGACTGTTGGCGGCTTCGGCTGGCTAGCAGCAGGTTGAATGTGTTTTTGCATGGAATGGACGTAAACATTCATGAATTACATTCATGATTTTATATTTTTTCTTTACATTCACACTATGAATTTTGTTATACGAACATGCCATGAATGACATATATAATACAGTTACAGAAAGATGAGTGCTTTGATTTGAGTTGAGTCAAGAATTGACATCACAGCACTTGGTGCATTCCCATACCATCTCCGTGCTCATCTTCAGCAGCCAAAGCAGAGTTCCAATACTGATGGTACCCGTCACAATCAGATGAGTGCTTTAAAGGGACTTAATGTAATACGGTTCTAGGTTTTCCATGTGTAACCCTTCAGAAATAAAGCTCATTGGTTCGTTGGTTTGCTCATTCGTCCTTACCTAAGTTTCGGTCACTATAGGTTCCCGTGGGGACACTGAAGTCGATGTTTTCAAAGTTGATTGCAGTCCCTAAACTAACGATCTCTGCTTGAGTCCTGGGCACCAGCTTGGAGTAGCCGGTACTACCTGACGTGGTAAACACATACAGCAGATCCTCGGGGCCGACCGTTGAATCGATGAACACTTGGTCACTGCTGTCTCTCAGGTCTTCCAGCCATGGTTTACTTGTTCTGGGTCAAAAACATATTGTATAAGCCAATTAGAATTGATTCGGTGCAATATAAAAACACACAAGTCACTTGTTTAATTCACAAAACATTTAATTTATTTAGTCACAAAAAGCTGGTACTACATTTATGTACACCTTTTATTTTTAAATAGTCTAAATAAAGTGACAGAACAGAACTGGAAGAAATAACTAGCTCAGGTAACAAATTAAAAACAACAGATAAAAAAGTCAGGTGAATGAGATAAGAAGTTGAGAAATGCGAGGTAGCTTTAAACAATTCCATGGATGAGTGTACGGTGTAGAAATCAGTAGCCGTGTAAAAGTTGACTATATTTCCTTTCGGCAGCTACACAGTTTTGCCAACGTTCATTGGGTTGTTGGAAACATTCCTGCAACCCATTCTTTGACACCTTTTTCCGTTGCTTTGTCGCGTTTGCAATAACCTATTCAGCATCCTTGAATCGCTGCCCAGTGCCGACTGTAGGCGAGGGAACTAGACAGAGATAAATCAGCCGGTGATAGGTCAAGACAATATGGAAGATGTTCCAGGGCAGTTACATTTGGCGCTTCACCATTAGGGATCTCTGTGCTGGTCCAAAACACATCAGTACTCTGAAATAATATCACCCTTATCTGTCTGGCCACAGAAATCTGGTTTGGACAAGAGCAACGGCAAAGTTATGCATTATGTTTTTTTTTTATCCCAGGGTATTGAGAGTTAGAAAAATAATTCTGGCTTGCTACATACATCCAGTTTTAACATATGGATGTGAATCCTGGATAGTCGGTAGGCAGGCCAAACAATTTTTTGAGGCCTCAGAGATGTTTTACAGAAGAATGCTTAAAACACCATGGACAGCCACAAAGAGCAACCAAGAGGTTTTAAAAGAGGCGGGAGCCCGAAGACAACTCATCACACACATCAAAGGAGACGGTCTTTTTTTTTTTTTTTTTTGGCTATGTTATGAGAAGAGGGAAAATAGAACATGTTGTGACCACTGGAAAGATCTGTGGAAGGGGGGATAGAGGAAGACAACGAGAGAAGATTCTTGACAGTCTTGTTGCATGGCGTGGAGGTGTGTCGGCACATGAGCTGATATATGCTATAGGAGATTGTAGATTGTGGAGGGACATGATCACCTACGCCAGTCGGCAAGGCATCCGATGATGATGATTGTCTACCGTGATTGTATTGCTAAAGTCTGAATATTTAACAAGGAAATCTATCTTGACACCCTTCATTCTCTAAGAGATGCAATCTGCTGCATGAAGATGTACCGAAACATCGATCCCTATGGGTACAGTAGTATCCCGCATCGCAAAGTCCTGAGAACTTGTTGAAGCTACCTCGTACAAACAATGTACAGAGAAAATGGGGAAGCTCTGGTGATCTATGACTCACAGTGATACACAGTCCACTATGTACGTGCCAGTTTTAGCTCTGGTGATCTATGACTCACAGTGATACACAGTCCACTATGTACGTGTCAGTTTTAGCTCTGGTGATCTATGACTCACAGTGATACACAGTCCACTATGTACGTGCCAGTTTTAGCTCTTTCTTCATTTCTTTTTCAAGAACTCCATAAAATAATTACTAAAAAACTGTAAAAGTATTCCACCTCCTATTCCACCTCCTATTCCACCTCCTTTTCCACCTCCTATTCCGCCTCCTATTCCACCACCTATTCCACCTCCTATTCCACCTCCTATTCCACCTCCTATTCCACCTCCTATTCCACCTCCTATTCCACCTCCTATTCCACCTCCTATTCCACCTCATATTCCACCTCCTTTTCCATCTCCTATTCCACCTCCTATTCCACCTCCTATTCCACCTCCTATTCCACCTCCTATTCCATCTCCTATTCCGCCTCCTATTCCACCTCCTATTCCACCTCCTATTCCACCTCCTTTTCCACCTCCTATTCCACCTCCTCTTCCACCTCCTATTCTCCCTCCTATTCCACCTCCTTTCAATTATCACAACGCTGTACACTAAACCAATAGCACCGGTGGGGATCGTAGAAGAAAATCACAGCATAAATCAATCAATCTGTCAATCAATCATCATGTCCTTTACAGAACGTCGCTCTCACCACGGTATGTATGCAAATCTTGTTTATATCCCTGTGTTCTTTCATAGCCTATTCTTTCATTGTTATGTACCCACGTTCACAGAAGTCGGCCTCTGCCTTGCCTTTCGGAAACTGCATCAACGTCACCGTTCTCTCGCGACCACCATTGTGCTTGGTTAGTTGCGTATCCTTTACAGAACGTTGTAGAACCAACCCTAGCAGCCCCTGGCTGTTGTGTGGTTTCTCTAGGCAAATTTACCTCCAGCAGTTTGCCGTTCATTGCGCTTGACATGTCAAAAAATACATCAGCTTTCGAGAGAGGATGCTGTTAACGAGCCAGTTTTCCTTGATGGTCAGGTCATTCAGGCGTGTCGACATTTGTCTTTTCTTGGTGCGTGGATTTGTTCTGTAGCATTTCAGTTGAAATCTCCGATTTTCTTCTTCAAAGACTGAGTGAGACTCAATGACTCACATCCAAATGTTGCCATGACAAAGATGGATGATCTCAGAATGTCTACCTTACCTTGCTAGCACGAGTTACTTGTGCTTACATGGAACAACATTGTCAACAAATGAGGCAATAAGGCGTTGCATCACAACGTTTTGTATCTTCTCCTTTTCCCCCTTCTTCTTCTTCTTCTTCTTCTTCTTCTTCTTCTTCTTCTTCTTCTTCTTCTTCTTCTTCTTCTTCTTCTTCTTCTTCTTCTTCTTCTTCTTCTTCTTATTATTATTATTATTATTATTATTATTATTATTATTATTCATCTTCTTTCTTTCTTTCTTTCTTTTCGTTCTTTATTTCTTTCTTTACTTTTTCTTCTTTTTTTTTAAAGTTTTTCCTAAAAAAGTGCCAAAATGATGGAGAGAGTGAGACAGGATGAGTTTGGGGGACAGTGGAAGTTCGAAATGTCTGTTACAATCAAATTATTCTTTTGCCTAATTTTACAGTACTGAAAATACCAACCCGTCAGAGGTTCTAGAGACGCCTATTGCTGTCCTTAACTCAGGTGATTGGTCACACGATAACGTGAGGCAGGTCGTAGAAGCCTTATCCGTGACGAAAGGATGAAGGAGCCGCCATGCCGGTGACTCCGTGTCAGGTCTCAACACAATGCCGCTACATTGACTGTTGGTAGCCGATCGAAAGAAATCAGAGCCATCTGCTAGAAGAATCTACGGGCAATAAAATATAAAAAAAAGTAGTTATGTATCATTTATTTATAAGGACCTCAAATTGTTTGGCTGCCTCTATTTATTAACCCCCCCCCCCCCCCACCCATTTTTTCTCATCCCCCGCTATCCAATCCCCCTTTCTGTGGGATAGCCGCCTGAACGATTGAAAGATTATCACCTAGCAATTTTGGCAGGTACTATTCGGATGTGAAACCAACAGGTCCACACCCTTGACATCCCATTCAACCCTACATGACTGCTATACTGGGATACCCTATGAGTTTTCGAAGGGAAAAAAACACATGGGTCAGGCGGAGGATATTATTGAACACGTTTGTTCTCTTGCGGACATAAAACCTTGCCAAGCGTAAGTACAAGTGCCAACAAAGTGTTTTACGCACTTTGTTTTTTTTTTTGTTTTGTTTACAGGATTGAAAATTCAGGCAATAAAGTACGGCCGCCATTGAGGCAAAGGTTTACACCTTGATGTTGGAGAATTCTCTAGCGGCTGTTGCCGTCATTTATTTACAGAGATAGGTTTGTAGGTCAATATGTGAGAAGCTATGCAACGTTTACTGATTAGTCAGAAGCAGAACTGTGAAGGAAGATTCTGGTGCTTTTGCCTTGACTACATGTAGTCTGACTGGAAATCATGGCAGAGACAAAAGCAATAATGTGGCTGGAGACACAGACCTTTACGGGCGCATTCTTTCTCAGTGTCTCAATAAGTATGTTCAGAAAGATGGAACTGGTTTGGGTCCAAAGACTGTTATTCTTTAGGGTGCTAACGGGTCACATAATTTTTTTTGTAATTGGTGTGCCAGTTGATGCAGGCGTACAAGGAAATGAGCAAGCTGATAGGCTTGCAGAGAAGGCTAGGGGAAGCGGAGTGGGGACGCTGATGATCCATAGATAAGGCTGCTATATTTAATGCGCTACTGGAATCCTGACGCTTGTGAGAAGCAAGTAAGGATCGTGACTCCGCAACCATGATCTGACTGACTGCAAGAACAAGAAGTTAAACAGAGTCTGACAAAACAACAGCACTATGCAGGAAACCAGCGAAAAAGAACAAACCAACCAGAAGAACTGGTATGCGTAGCCGCTAAACACTGCCACATTTATCGAGGTTATATGAACACTTACCGGCGGAAAGCTTCATGTCTATTAATGATGATCTGTCGAAAACTAACTAATCCTACGGGTTCGAAGTAACCTGCTATATGTCTCGTATGAGTGGGTTCTTTTGTCAACAATTACGTTGAGTAATTTGTCATTGCTTTCAGAGTCAACACAAAGCTGTTTGCAATGTTACAATGAACTATATCAGTGCTTTTGACAGCGTCCATAGAGACAGTCTCTGGAAAATTTTACGACATTATGGAATTCCAGAAAAATAGTCAACATAATTGCTCTCTTCTATAAAGACTTTTCCTGCAGTATAAAAAATTACAATACATCTTTCCCAATTAAAGACGGGTGTAAGACAGTGATGTGTTATGTCATCTCTCCTCTTCAACCTTGCGATTGATTGGAAACTAAAGAACACAGTAGTCAGGACATTAAGAGGCATACGATGGACTCCATTCACCATGCTTGAGGACCTTGATTTAGCAGATAATATGGCACTCTTATCACATAAATATGAACATATACAAGAGAAAAGTAACAGACTAAGCTGCACAGCAGAAATGGTGGGACTGAGAATAAATACAAAGAAAACTAAGATCATGACAAACAGTCCAAACCAACAACCAGTGACCATAAGTAACCAAACTCTTGAAAATGTAGAACATTTCACATATCTTGGCAGTGTAATGTCCCTACTGGGAGGGACAGAGGAAGACATACAGTCACGCCTGAACAAATCTAGAGCTGCTTTTGGAAGGATGAGGCAAATCTGGAAATCCAACAATTACTGCAGAGGAACAAAACTCCGACTCTACAAGAGCATTATTTTGCCAGTTGTTGTTTATGAAGCAGAATGCTGGAGAAGGAGCAAAAAGGATGCACACAAGCTGCCAACTTCCACCACACATGTCTACGTAGAATTATCAAAGTTTTCTGGCCAGATACAATCTCAAACACTAAACTACTTCAAGTCACAAACCAAGAAACTCTAGACAGTATGATAACCAAGAGAAGATGGAAATGGTTTGGCCATGTTATGAGAATGAATCCTCATATACCTGCTAAAACATGGATGCCAGGGGGGAGAAAATAGAAAAAAAGGGCAGGCCCCCCCCCCCCTCCTCCTCCCTATCTCCCCCCCACCCCAACAAAAAAAACATAGATACGAACGATGGAAAGTGACCTGAGTGTGGCATTTCTGGCATGGAAAACTGCACTGAAGACTGCGGAGGACAGGAAAGCAGAGAAAGCCCTCTCTGAAGCATGACTAGGCATAACGAGAACTGATGATGATGAACTATATCAGTGATGAATTTTTGCATAACTGTTTCACATTATGGTGAACTATAACAATGATTAATTTTTGCATCAATGTTTCACATTACAGTGAACTATATCAGTGATTAATTTTTGCATAACAGAATAACATTACGCTGAATTATATCAGTGATGGATGTTTGCATCACTGTTTCACATTACGGTGAAAGACATCTGCCGTTAATTATTACATCATTGTTTAATATTAAAGGGAATTTTCATCGATAACTTCTCGTAATTTCTTAAAATTAAGGTGAACGGCGATTATGTTCAAGAAAGCAACTACAGGCACACGGACGGCCGTTCAGTGGAACATTTTCAAACACCTGGGGCATTTGGACTGTGCAGATAAGGTCTGTGTCATCAGCCAAAGTAAAGAACATCTACAAGAAAAGAAAGATCTGATAATATGGTTAAGAATCAATGTCAATAAAACAAAACTGCTGAAGATAATCCCCCAAAGTGAAAGACCTATAGCGAAAGATAATGCTGGTTTGGAAACAGTAAGTGACTTTGTTTACCTGGGAAGCGATATCTCATCGCATGGAAAAGTAATGTTTAAATAAAGCAGAAAATTGCGTATGCAAATGCTGCTTACAACCGACTTCAGGGTGTCTGGAGATTAAACATCTACAGCACTAAACCTCAACTCAGGAGATACAAAACATGCGATAGGACAGTTCTTCCCTATGGAGCAGAAACTTGGAAAACAGAAAGATAGATAGAGAGCATTCTCGGAGGTTTTGAGGGAAGACTTCTCACAAGATTGTGTGGTTGACATGGCAAGATCAAATCTAGATTACCACAAATAACAGACTTAGAGGATGTAAATTCAGAAATCAAAGAATAGGAAAAAAAAATTACAAAACAAGATGGAAGTGGACTGGACACGTCCTCTGAATTAAAAAAGAGAAACAGATGAGACAGGCAATGCAATAGACACAACAAGGACAAGGGGGGGGGGGGGGGGGGGGGGGGGGGGGGGGGGGGTAAGCAGACCTAGAGGCACTTGGAGACGAATCTTTGCGGCCGAACCCAAGGCTACGTGAAGGACAGAACTGGAGAGGATGGCTCAGGATTGAACTGAGTGGCGAAAGTTTGTCTCTCCTGTACGTGCTTCCAGGCGCGATGAGGATTAACTGATATATTGATTGATTGAACGGCATCGGTCATAAATTCTTGAACCATTGCTTTATGTTAGCGTGAATGTATCGATTGCGAGTTCTTGGAGGTAGCTGCTCGCTTCCACTGTATCCTTGTGCCCAGTTCATGATTGTTTAAAAAAAAAGTTGGCTTGCTGGTTGATTCTGTGACTGACTTTCTCTTTTCAGTTAGTGACTCCAAATGTTGGTAGGCCTGTCTGAATGTTGTCTCTCCGTAGTTTTCTTGGTCTGTCTCGTTGTCTATTCACATTCAACACTTTTGTGCATGCACTTGTGTCTGGATGTTTTCTGCCATTCTCTGTGTATAAACCAATTATTAGCTCTCTTGAAGCCGATAATTATTGGTCATTTCTATATCTCTCTATGCCTAGGACTCTAGCGTAGTTGGCTAAACCGGACTGCGCGGTGACCGGGTGAAAAACTCCTTGTGGTTCGGGTTCACTCCCGGGAGTAGGCAGAAAAGCCACATTTCTCCCAGATTTACGGTATCTATCATGGAATCAAGGCCGAAGGGTTGCGATATCCATAGTACCGAGCCAAAGGGTTAACAACTCATGGTTTCTGGATACAAAAACAAACAATCTCTCTATATACTCTTCATATCGCTGTTGACACACAAGGCATTCACAAGGGATCTCCATTGCTGCCGGTCTGCTGCTTTTCAGCCCATGGTATCCCATGTCAGTTTACATTCCTTCATTTCCCGTTCTATTGTCCTTGTCCAGGTTTCCTTAGGTCGTCCATGTCTTATTTTCCCATCTGCTGTTCATCGGAGAGCTGTTTTTGCCAGAGTGCCACAAGACATTCGGCAAACATGTCCAAGCCATCTCCATCGTCTTACTTGTATAAAATTTGCTTATGATGCACATTCTGTTTTCCTTCTCAGTTCTTCATTTGTGATCTTGTTTGGCCAAAATATTCGTAGAATTCTCTTTAAATATTTATTTATTACTTGAAAAATCTTACACAATAGTTTTGGCGTTTTGATGTCCTTTACTTTCAGCATTTCTGGGCAGATTCAATCACACACAGGTGCTCTGTTAACCATTTAAGCTTTAAACGCCTCCCTAACCTCTGCCTGGGAAAAAGGCTCTAGGCTTATCTGTAGGTCTTCCTCTGCCTCAGGTATATCAGTAAGTACAGGTGGGTCTGGACAGTTTAGTAATTCTTGGAAGTGTTCTTTCAACCTTTCTAATTTGTCTTTCTCTGCTGTAATCATTTTCCCATTCTTTGTTTTTAAAGGCAAATGTTGGTGCGATAGCATGTTTCCTGTCAGTTCTAAGTTATGTTCTACAATGTTTTGATGTCCCGCTTATTTGCTGCTTCCTCTGCTTCTGTTACTAGTTTTTCAATATACGAAAGTTTATCTGCTTCTGCTCCTTCTTTAACCTCATTGTTCTTTGGTGCATATTCTATAGAAAAATTGTCCTTTAATCTGGCTGTTTTTGCATCTAACATTTGTCTTTTAATATCACATTTTAATTTTGTGCTATTTTCTCCCACGTCGATTAAGAAATCTACTCCACTTTCTTTGACCGTCTAGATCCCAATATTTTTTTTCCCTGTTAATTTGACGGCTTCATTAAATTTGTCGATTAGTATTTCTGTTTCTTCTTGTAAAATGCTGAATCTGTTTTTGAGTTCTATCTTGAAATGCTGTTTGATATGTGTGTCCTGCAGTTTTCCTACATCATGTCGCTGCGTTTTTTCCCCCTCCTATTTCAGCTTTCCTTAGTTTTAAAGTGATTTACACTGATATAACTACACTGAGGCTTATTACTTTCTTCCAAATTATATTATTTGCGAGTAGAATCCTGCACAAATTAATTAGTATGTGTGAGTAATTAGAAAACAAAATTGTTTAAAACGGGTGCAGATAAAAACGTAATTAGAAAATAATAATATTAAACGACTGCAGAAGCAAAAACACACATTTACATATGATCTATTTATTACCTGTCCATTCATGCAGGTACATCCGGCCAACATAATGCCAAGGTCGACAATGAGTCGCTCAGGTGAGTTAGGTAAGGTACTGACGATGACGTCACTGCGACGGAAGCCGTACAGGTGACGCAACCTGTAGGCAAACTTGCCGGCCAAGTGGAAGACCTGGCTACAGGTCAACGAGGTCCTGTTGTCTCCTTCGTAGAACACAAACAGTTCTTTCTCTGGAAAATTCTCTGCCAGAAACTGCACTCGTTTTAAAACAGTGTTGAGTATCGGGAAGGGTTCGGGTTGTTCCATGTTGTTACGCTTACACAAACTTGAAGAGGGATAATGACGTCAAGGAAGAACCGGGGATCTGAGAGTCTTTAGAGTTTGATTTGAAGGCTGAGATTGTATTTAGTAGTCTGCCAGTTATGTTCTATTTCCTGTATTCTGCCACAGTTTTCCACCAGAACTCTGAAAAAAAAAAAAACACACACACACAAACAAAATGGAGGATGTCAGACAAAGGTACTGTACAGGAAGTCAAAGTTAATTTTTTTTTTTATCAACACAAACTTGACGTGTGAGCCGCCACACTGAGAATACACTGTGGAGCCGCCACACTGAGAATACATTGGGGAGCCGCCACACTGAGAATACACTGGAGAGCCGCCACACTGAGAATACACTGGAGAGCCGCCACAGTGAGAATACACTGTGGCGCCGCCACACTGAGCATACACTGTGGAGCCGTCACACTGAGAATACACTGTGGAGCCGTCACACTGAGAATACACTGTGGAGCCGTCACACTGAGAATACACTGGGGAGCCGCCACACTGAGAATACACTGGAGAGCCGCCACACTGAGAATACACTGGGGAGCCGCCACACTGAGAATACACTGGGGAACCGCCACACTGAGGACACACTGGGGAGCCGCCACACTTAGGATACACTGTGGAGCCGCCACACTGAGGATACACTGGGGAGCCCCCACACTAAGGATACACTGTGGAGCCGCCACACTTAGGATACACTGGGGAGCCGCCACACTTAGGATACACTGGAATGCCGCCACACTGAGGATACACTGGGGAGCCCCCACACTAAGGATACACTAGGGAGCCGCCACACTGAGGATACACTGTGGAGCCGCCACACTGAGGATACATTGGGGAGCCGCCACACTGAGGATACACTGGGGAGCCGCCACACTAAGGATACACTGTGGAGTCGCCGCACTGAGGATACACTGGGGAGCCGCCACACTAAGGATACACTGTGGAGCCGCCACACTGAGGATACACTGTGGAGTCGCCGCACTGAGGATACACTGGGGAACCGCCACACTGAGAATACACTGGAGAGCCGCCACACTGAGAATACACTGGAGAGCCGCCACACTGAGAATACACTGTGGCGCCGCCACACTGAGCATACACTGTGGAGCCGTCACACTGAGAATACACTGTGGAGCCGTCACACTGAGAATACACTGTGGAGCCGTCACACTGAGAATACACTGGGGAGCCGCCACACTGAGAATACACTGGAGAGCCGCCACACTGAGAATACACTGGGGAGCCGCCACACTGAGAATACACTGGGGAACCGCCACACTGAGGACACACTGGGGAGCCGCCACACTTAAGATACACTGTGGAGCCGCCACACTGAGGATACACTGGGGAGCCCCCACACTAAGGATACACTGTGGAGCCGCCACACTTAGGATACACTGGGGAGCCGCCACACTTAGGATACACTGGAATGCCGCCACACTGAGGATACACTGGGGAGCCCCCACACTAAGGATACACTAGGGAGCCGCCACACTGAGGATACACTGTGGAGCCGCCACACTGAGGATACATTGGGGAGCCGCCACACTGAGGATACACTGGGGAGCCGCCACACTAAGGATACACTGTGGAGTCGCCGCACTGAGGATACACTGGGGAGCCGCCACACTAAGGATACACTGTGGAGCCGCCACACTGAGGATACACTGTGGAGTCGCCGCACTGAGGATACACTGGGGAACCGCCACACTAAGGATACACTGGGGAGCCGCCACACTGAGGATACACTGTGGAGTCGCCGCACTGAGGATACACTGGGGAGCCGCCACACTAAGGATACACTGTGGAGCCGCCACACTGAGGATACACTAGGGAGCCGCCACACTGAGGATACCCTGGGGAGCCGCCACACTGAGGATACACTAGGGAGCCGCCACACTGAGGATACCCTGGGGAGCCGCCACACTGAGGATACACTGGGGAGCCGCCACACTGAGGATACACTGGGGAGCCGCCACACTAAGAATACACTGTGGAGCCGCCACACTAAGAATACACTGTGGAGCCGCCACACTAAGGATACACTGGGGAGCCGCCACACTAAGGATACACTAGGGAGCCGCCACACTAAGGATACACTGTGGAGCCGTCACACTAAGGATACACTGGGGAGCCGCCACACTGAGGATACACTGGGGAGCCGCCATGCTAAGGATACACTGTGGAGCCGCCGCACTAAGGATACACTGTGGAGCCGCCGCAATAAGGATACACTGTGGAGCCGCCACACTGAGGATACACTGGGGAGCCGCCACACTGAGGATACACTGTGAAGGGACTCTGACCCCCACAGACTAAATGGTTCGGCGTAGCGCGAAAATGATTAGCCGACTAACTAACTAATAAATAACTAACTAACATGTACTCCTGCACTTGTCCTGACAATGTCTTATTGTAGCTGAGCACAGAATATTCCAGTCAATGTAGTTCCTTGTCTGTTTACCGCGCTTTTGTGTAATTTCGATGTCGGTACAGCATGAAATACGAGCCATGACTATACAGGTCACCGTGAGAGACTGGAGATAACTCACATATTAACTATAATTATAATTCCAGTCACGTACACGGGTTTAAAACAAAAGGTCAATATTTACTGCTACCCTATTGTGTGGCCGTTACAGTTTTACGGTTAAGAAATTAATCTATGTGCTGCCGGATAGCTGTTTGATTAAACATCTCCTTTCTAGTTAGGAATTCAAACAAAATAAAACTTACAATTAATTAACTTCACAATATCATAAACAAAAACGACAAATTAACGTTTCGGCTAAAGAGCCTTAATCGGCACATTGCCCAAATCTACCATATCATAAGTACGAACAAGAATATACAGATTCGCTTCAGCTGACGTATCTCTAATGGAAATCATATCTCTGTTTGGCAGTAGAATATTTGACAATTTGGTTGCCACCTGGAATAAATACTGGCCAGGAAGAAGAGTAGCGACACTGGTTTGAACGACACCGCTATGCACATGAGAAAGATGTTTTCTGAACATGTCCGCTAATTGTAGCCATATTTCATCACATATAACATTGCGGCTGGTGCAATATAATGCGTCTCTTATGTGGATGGCGATAATGAGGAAATCCTGACTGTCCGCCGGAACCACACACGGACAAGTCTCACTTATAGGTACTTAAGCAGGACACATGGGTGGAAGTAACCGACTTTTTACTATAACCTCCGTGTCTAGACAGCAGTGCAACTTCCAAACTCATCCAATTGTTGCTAAGACGCTTTCTGCATCTATAGCTCTCATGTTAACTTCTTCTATTCCAGACCTTTTATTACATTAATGTGACACGGTCTCTCTCTCTCTCTCTCTCTCCCTCTCTCTCTCTCTCTCTCTCTCTCTCTCTCTCTCTCTCTCTCTCTCTCACGCACACGCACGCACACACACACGCACGCACGCACGCACGCACGCACACACACACACACACACACACACACACCACACACACACACACACACCACACACACACCATGATCAGAGTGGAGTAAGTTGTTGTCGGTATTAGCCTCATGATCAGAGTGGACTAAGTTGTTGTCGGTATCAGCCTCATGATCAGAGTGGAGTAAGTTGTTGTCGGTATCAGCCTCAGGATCAGAGTGGAGTAAGTTGTTGTTGGTTTCAGCCTCAGGATCAGAGTGGAGTAAGTTGTTGTTGGTATCAGCCTCAGGATCAGAGTGGAGTAAGTTGTTGTTGGTATCAGTCTCAGGATCAGAGTGGAGTAAGTTGTTGTTGGTATCAGCCTCAGGATCAGAGTGGAGTAAGTTGTTGTTGGTATCAGCCTCATGATCAGAGTGGAGTAAGTTGTCAGTATTAGTCTCATGATCAGAGTGGAGTAAGTTGTCGGTATCAGTCTCATGATCAGAGTGGAGTAAGTTGTCAGTATTAGTCTCATGATCAGAGTGGAGTAAGTTGTCGGTATCAGTCTCATGATCAGAGTGGAGTAAGTTGTCGGTATCAGTCTCATGATCAGAGTGGAGTAAGTTGTCAGTATCATTCTCATGATCAGAGTTGAGTAAGTTGTCGGTATCAGTCTCATGATCAGAAAGGAATTAAGTTTTTGTAGGTATGAGCCAAATAAGAAGATTTCGGTGATTATTCTAAGGGGAATCGTTAGAGAGCAGCAAGTATGTACATTACACCAACAGTACTGAGAATGGGTTAGAATCAGTGTGCTACAGATATCATTGCTATACCCCAAAAAACAAATGCATGCACACTTATTCGTTGACATGAAACTGGTAAATGGCCATGCAGAATACAACATTGAATACAGACTTCATTAACTGTAATGGTGATTCTGGTCACACACACACAGGCCTAGAGGTTGTTAGTTACACAATACTGCATACCTGCAGTGTACTGGAGAAGAAATGTGTCAGGAGAACAGTCTGCTAGCTCCCAGTTGTGGTCACTGGTACACTCGGGACTTTTAGGGGGTTGAGAAATGGAGGTATAAACTTGAGGGCTGTCTGTGACATATAATGGCACAATAGGACATCTGATATGTTTACAATCAATACAGGGGTGAGGCAGGGATCTGTGCTATCTCCTCTCTTATTAACTATACATAGACAGAATTTCAAAAGAAGTTAGCCTAAATGCTGTTGACCCAGAAAAAAAGGCTACTTTCCAGAGGATGAATTACATCCGCACACAGTAAATGAGTTGCTATTTGCAGACGATCAGTGCCTGTTCTACAATGAGGGGAGTAGATTGCAAAAACATTTAAACAGGCTAAGTTCAACATACTGAAGATATCACATGAAGTAATGAACTGAAGCTATGCAGGTCTGCAGATTTCCTAGTCCACTACAAACAGGGTTCAATGGTACTTGTCTGAAGCAAGTTACAGAATTTAAATATCTAAGAAGTACATTATCAAAGAATGGGAGAATAAATCGGGAAATAGAAACAAGAAGCCAACGAGTCAGTCC